GCATGTTTAATTCCTTGTGCTATTCACATTTCCCCATTTAACTTTTAAATCGAGGAATCTGAAAATGCGATAAGATGAAAGTTAAGTTTGGCAATCATAACGTTAACAGACTTATTGTATAAACTCAACTCACCTCGTGGTACAACTATAACCTTGATAATCTATAAAGTGTAAAGTCAATTAGTCTGTATATTTCATCGTTGTGACTAACAAGATTGTAGAGAATGAACCTACCGAAATTATCATTGGGATTGCAGTGACATTTCAATTGTAATTTTTCGCTAGTAGGACAATGCATAAATGGTTCATGACGATACCCTATTTCGTTGAAGAAATGCACTTGGTGTTTTTTTAGGAAAAGAGCAGCAGCGATTGAATGAACGGGAGCATCACCCCAACTAAAAAAAAAAAAAAAAAAGGTAATGAGTAAATTATTTATCTATTAATTGATCACTATTAAAAACATACTAACCGTTCATAAAAGAATCCACCTTTATCATCAAGGAAGTCAAAGAACTTGGTGTACGCTTCACCTCTCCACAAATTCAGATCCCCAATTTCAAAGTTTGACCAAAAGTGACACCTGTGGCAATAGAAGATGAATAATTACCCACTTAATATTAAAGAACTCACTCCTTAAATAAGTGATATCATCGTCATACAAATTATAAGATACGCCATCATCATTAGATATAAATTCCATCAAATTATCTTTTTCTATATATTCTGGATATTTTTTTGAGAATTCCTTGACACTTTCCCATAAAGTAGGTATGGTATTCGGGTACTCATATAGTGAAATAGTGAAACCTGAAAGTTATCGTAATCGTTATGAGATTTGCACAAAATATGAAATCAGATGAGTTGATCAAAGTAGAAAAGAATAATCACCATATTTGATATCATTCTCTTTCATGTACATGAACGGATCAAAGTCCAAATCACAATAGAATTGAACGCCAGGTTCAACTCGCCAATAGTAATCATATTTTTCTAATAATTCGTGTCGATAGAAAAACCCGGATTCAAATCTAAAATAGATTTGTCATAATTAATGGTGCAATGGTGGACGGTAAATCTCGGACCAAAACCTACCTGCACATATGACGATATGGCAGGCTGTCACCATATATTACATTATTTTCTCGCATTTTGGCCATGTTCCTGTTGACACGATCCAAATCAATCATTTCCGGAACACTCCAGTGTTTTCTAGGGATTAATCCTATATTATCCGATGGTATTCATATTATGATACATTATGTAGTATTTATTGCTAGTGTCATTTCAAGAAAAAAAAGTGTTTACCATATTCGGTTTTTGATTTGGTCATCGCGCTAGTGAGCATCTTGAATTCTTCGGTAAATGGTTCGTTATTCAGGAACACATACGGATAGTTGTATTTATGATTGTATCTATCTTCTAATTGTCTCATGGTGGCTCGAAAACTATGCAAATCACCGTTTCGGATCAACACCACAAAGGCGGCTTTAACATTACTACCAGGCTGTGTCTGTCCTGAATCATGCTGTTTCTGTTCCGACTCGTGTTGCTTATGTTCCGAGTCATGTTGCTTGTGTTCTGAACCGTGCTGTTTATTCTCCGAACCATGGTCAATAACTTTATGTTTTGGACGTGGTGGTTCAATTTCTCCGTCAACCACGGGATACTCGGGTGAAGACCATTGTTTCGAATATTCCGACCTTGGATTGGTAATGGTTAACACCCAATGAAAGAAAAATAATGTTGCTACGGCCAAACCAAAATACTTTAAATTATTTCGTTTTAACATGATGGAAAACTCCCTTTTCCATTAGAGGCTCAAAAAGAAGAACAAAAAGTGAGAAGAAAAGTTATATGTATAATAATAATATGTTTGTGTAATACACGATTATTTGTTCGATTTGGCAATGAGGGATTTGCGTTTGCACAATTATGGATTAGGTTTTACCACACTCTAATATTATTGGGCGAGAAAGAATATAAATATAAAAAAACGACTTTCTATTATGAACCGGTTCATAGCAAAACGAACTGTCCTTATACTGTATTTCATGACAGGAATTAAAATTCGAATTAATATATTAAAGTAAAGATTTCTTTTTTTTTGTTTATCTTAGCCGAAGACCCGTAAGCACAACTTATATATAGATGGTTGCCAAAAGTCTGCGAACACTATTAGTTAATTTTTATAGTGTTTACAAAATTAAATTCGGATTTTAATAATTATAAAAAATATATATTTTATAAATCAATGATAGTCAAAGAATATTAAAATTTATATTAAAATTTAATTTTATTTTATCAAAAAAATATTTATTCACTATTTATGTAATTACCAGTACGGAATCTGTTTTTTTTTTTGGCCACACTTATTGACGTTTTAATGACATGCAATGCACCATGAATTTTAAACCACACGTAAGATCGACGTCACTGAACCCAACGGAGAGAGTTCGGGGATAATAATTTTTGTACGCGCGTGAGGGAGCATTATCATTACGTAACACAAAGTATACTCAATGTGTATTTAAGGGATTCATCTTTTTTTTTGACTGTGAACGTAACTCGTTTTAAAGTCAACCCAAATTCGTTTAATTCACACATTTTGCGCCAATGTCAAACAAAATCCAACCCAACACGTCCACTCCTGGCAGAAATGCAACGAGACTATTGGTGGTTTCAAATCGTTTGCCGGTTACAATTACAAAGACCAATGATGAATATGCTTTCAGGATGTCTTCCGGTGGCCTAGTGAGTGCACTTAGTGGCTTAAAAAAAATGATGACCTTTACTTGGATTGGTTGGCCTGGTCAGTTTTTTTTTTTTTTTTTTGAAAAAAAAAAAGTGGTTTCGTAATCATGGAATAACAGATCAATGGTTATTCATGTAATCTACTTATTGCAGGACTCCATATACCCGAAGAAGAAAGAAAAGTTGTCACTGAAAAATTGAAAGAACATTCTTGTCTTCCTGTTTTTGTCAACGATGATCTAGCAGACCGTCACTATAACGGTTTCTCAAACTCAATATTGTGGCCGTTGTTTCATTATCATCCCGGTGAAATTACTTTCAATCAAGAGGATTGGGACGCCTATGAAAGTGTCAATGGTCTTTTTGCCGATGCTATTAACAACATCGTTCAAGATGGTGATTTGGTTTGGATTCAAGATTACCATTTGATGCTATTGCCAAGTATGTTGAGGGAGAGGATAGGCGATAATAAACAGGATGTTAAGATTGGATTCTTTTTACACACTCCTTTTCCTAGTAGCGAGATTTATCGGTAGGTTTTTGGAAAAACGAACTACCTCGCAAATATTAAAAGTTTAACCATTGTTACCGATCTAATTCGCGCGAACAGGATTCTTCCTACCCGTAGGGAGGTTCTCATCGGGGTCCTGAGTTCAGATCTCATTGGATTCCACACATACGATTACGCTCGCCACTTTTTGTCCTCATGCACTCGTATTCTAGGTCTATCAACAATGCCCAATAGCGCTGATTACGAAGGTAGACACGTGCACGTTGGAACGTTTCCCATTGGAATTGATCCAGAAAAATTTATCGAAGTACAATAAATATTGTTGCTGTACTAAAGAATATCTGTTCATAATTTCTTGAAATTTCACACCGCATCACATTTTTAACTCGTCTCCTTAAATCACCCTAGGGATTGAATCAGTCAAAAATTCAAGAACGGATCAAAGCATTGGAAGAAGAATTTAAAGATGTTAAACTAATTGTCGGTGTAGATCGCCTTGACTACATCAAAGGTGTTCCACATAAGATTCATGCTTTTGAGGTATTCCTGAGTGAACACCCGGAATGGGTCGGAAAGGTTGTCCTCGTTCAAGTGGCTGTGCCCTCTCGACAAGATGTTGAGGAATATCAGAATGTGCGCAACCTTGTTAACGAATTGGTCGGGAGAACGAATGGCAAATTTGGAACAGTAGAATTTGTTCCAATTCACTTTATTCATCGGTCGGTTTCTTTCGATGAGCTGGTTGCGTTGTACGCAGTATCGGATGTTTGTCTGGTGTCCTCCACCAGGGATGGAATGAACCTCGTTTCTTATGAATATGTTTCGTGTCAACAAAAGAAGAATGGCGTACTGATACTCAGTGAATTTGCTGGTGCGGCTCAATCATTAAATGGTGAACATTGTCAAACATCATCTTGCTTACATCAAATTCATGAAGGTATATTATGTATGTATTAATTAAATTTCATGTAAATATTCGAAGGTTCTCTCATTGTGAATCCTTGGAACGCCGAAGAGCTTTCCAATGCAATCTACGAAGCTGTTAATATGCCCATTTCTTTGCGCAAATCAAATCATCAAAAATTATACCGATATGTTAATAAATATACTGCTGCCAATTGGGGTACGAGTTTCGTTAATGAACTGAAGGTAATTAATTTACTTGATAACTAGCTATCAGTATGCTCTTAATTTTGAAGGCAGTCGACTCAACGTAAACTGTCATTTAGCGCGTCTTCGAGGAATACGGTGTTCGCGAAAAACTTCGACATTTGGAATTTAGAAAAACAGTGGAATCGGCGAAAAGCGCGAAGAAGCGAGTCATCTTGTTGGATTACGACGGTACTTTAACTTCTACAGGCACGATGCCGGAATTCGCTAATCCGTCTAGTAACATTCTAAGAATCCTCAAGGTGCTTCAAAGTAAACCCAACACATACATATACATCTTATCCGGTCGTGGACGTGTGCATCTCGATCAATGGTTCGAAACAGTTGGAGTCGGGCTTTCTGCGGAACACGGGTGTTTCTATAAGCATCCTCAGTGTTTGCAGGGACAGGTCGACCCCACTAAACATGGTATTTCGGATGGAAGGATTATTATAGATGAGACCGATGGCTGGTACAGACTTGTTGAACAAGTCGATCCTGCGTGGAAAGAGAAAATTTTGCCTCTATTTTCGCATTATACGGAACGAACTCCGGGCTCTTTTATCGAAGAAAAGGAGATCAACATAACATGGCATTATCAGGGTGCAGATTCCGAATTTGGAAATTGGCAGGCGAGCGAGCTTCAAGTTAACCTAGAGAAACTTCTGTGTCACATTCCTCTATCAGTAAGCGTTTACTGTTTAATGGGTATACTTACTTTGGCATGATCGGTTTAACTTATTTCACTTTGTCAAAAATTAGATTGTATTCGTTAGTAATAAGGCTTTGGAAGTTCGACCGGTAACGGTTGACAAATCGACCGCGGTTCGGGCCATCATTAAAGATCTAAGGCAATCGGAGGATGATGTTGATTTTGTTTTGTGTATTGGGGATAGCAAAAGCGATGAACCAGTATTTTCCATATTGAAAGAGTTAATGCCGGATTGCTACACAAGCACTGTCGGAAAGAAACAAACTGAAGCAAAGTATTACCTTGAAAATGTGGGGGATGTTCAAAAATTGTTAGAAATATTGTCACGGGAATTATAGATGTTTATCATCTTTAAAATACTTTTAATATAATAACAACGAGTCTTTGAATTAAAGCAATCCTAACGGGAAGAATTGATTACTGAAACTTGATTTATACGGTACATAAAAATTTTTTTTCTTGGAATTATTTATTTGTTCGGTCGGCCGGTACAGATCACTCGATGCAAAATAAACAAAGAAACAGATAAACAAATAGCATGGTTAATGCAAATGCATCTCCTACATACCGTCGGTGGCATATGCAGAAGAGAATCATCGTGCAACGACGCGCATTCGAAAAAAGAACTGTGCAACACGTCCTACACCTTGAAATTCCTGAATCATCGTTCACCACTCCTATTCCTCCTCTAATCTTTATCATTTCCCAAGATAAATTCTTCGTTCCTGAGGAATTAATTACAATTAGACGCGTGCAACCTTGATGGCTGCATAAGAAGTGTATATACCGTAAGTTGCGTGTAAAGTAGTGACCCCAAAGGAAACATGTTTAAAAAAATATTTAGTCGTCGGAAAGCATACATCAAGTATCACGAAGAGGAATTTATCGTCGTGTGGTGTTCGAACGACCAGATGACAATTTTTACTAGTTGGGATATGAAATTGACGGGGAGGCAGAAATTATCGAAGCAATTGGTGAAAAGGAGGAAGAATTTTGTTAAAGTGAATAGAATTCTTCATATTAATTACGTGGCTTGCCAATGAGACGGAACTCCTCGGAGATTCATTAATATTCTTTTTCTATTATAGAAACTCAGAGTACTTTTCAACAAACCAAGACCCGAAGATGATATGGATTTCTGGTGTTGTGGCAGTTCGAACCCATTCTGTAAATACATTTAGATGTCACCGGATTGACTTATAGAAAAAAATTTTGTAACATTCGGGCTCCTTTTCTGTAAATACGGGACAATGCTCGTACTTTAAAATGTCGAACAAACGAGCATGTACTTATATGCATTTGATGTATAGGAATAATGTTAAGATGTTTAGAAAAAAAAACAAATATATACAGTATATATTTATATTTATATATTATAATAATAATAACTTATTAACCATCAAAATTATCTCGAGCACATTGTACATTTTTTAAAAAAGATTGCACGGTTTAATAAAAGTGGCAAAACAGCCCATGTGAGATACACACCAAAGGACCTTTTTTTGTCATAATACTCGAATATTCTTTACTTAAATTTTATTGGCTGTAAATAAACTCGGTGCCTTTATAAGTAGACGTTAAACTCAATTCTCACCTATTCACTTTCTTCCGAATTTTGATTGTCATTTAAGATGACGTCGATTGATTTCCTTGTCCAAGAATGGCTTCGTTTAGATAGGGTTTGTTGACTTTATGAATCTACCTCTGAAAATTGACAATTGATTAGTGCCATGCTTCTTAAGAAAAGATTTCTGATTAGAATCCAAAAACACGAAGTGAGATTGAAAGTTTGAGGGGTAATGTTGAAGAATTGGAAAAACGCCTTCGTAATAGAATTTCGTTTGGTACCGCCGGTAACCCAATCATCATCCATTTAATTCGGCGTCAGTCTTTTCATCTTGATCTTGATATATTCGTTGTCGTTCTCTAGGTTTGCGATCAAGTATGCAAGCCGGGTTTTCAAGGATGAATGATCTTACGGTGATACAGGCTTCACAGGTATTACCCACTAATTTAATATCTAGGATGAATTGATCAATAAAGTCTTTCTCATTCCGACTTTAGGGCTTCTGCATGTATCTTGCGAACACCATCCCAGAATCGCGTGACCGGGGTGTGGTAATAGGATATGACCATAGGCATAACTCCGAGAATTTTGCAAGATTAAGTGCAGCAGTGTTCTTATCGAAAGATTTCAAGGTCTATTTTTATCGTGGCGTTGTGCATACTCCATTAGTGGTAAATTTTAATTCTCGGATTTTAATTTTAAAAAAATTTTTTTCTAATAACTTGCAAGATTTTAATCGGCTCACACATCTCGTGCGCTCTTCTTCTTAGCCGTATGGTGTTAAGAAATTGGAAGCGGCTTGTGGTATCATGATCACTGCTTCACATGTAAATTTCCAATTACCCGTTATTCTCCGGGAATTCAATAAAACCTATTTGATATTAATCTCCAAAAACTTTCGTTGTCTTAGAATCCCAAGGAAGATAACGGATACAAAGTGTAAGCTATAGTGTATATATATGTATATTTTCATATAATACTCGTTTAAAGTCTGACAATCTCGTATTTATCCAATTAATTAAGATACTGGGAAAATGCATGTCAGGTGAAGAATAATCTCCCAACTGTTGTCCAATTTATTCTGTTTAACGCCCGCGAGTTCACAATTCAAAGTTATATTGTGGATCTTTCAAAAAGATTATCTCGCCGCATGACAAAGGAATATCAGATGAAATAGAGAAGAATCTTGAACCCTGGGTGTGGGATTCTGAACTAGTAGATAGTCATAGGCTATGCATTGATAAAACCAAAGAAATTTCAGATGCTTATTTCGAGGAGATCAGAGAGTTGGCGCGTTACAGGTTGGAATATGACTTGGAAAAAAAGCAATGGAGAAATTGGCGATAACCAGTTTGAAAACGTTAAAAATTAGGGAAGACAACGCCGCATCAAATATCAAAATTGTGTACACGCCAATGCATGGAGTTGGATACCCTGCAGCAAAGCGAGCATTCGAGGTATTTTCTTTGAACCCGTTTATACTCACCAGTCAACAGACCCAGAATCCGGATTTCCCAACTGTAAAATTCCCTAATCCAGAAGAGGGAGAGAGTAAGTTACAAAAGGGAAACAATTTAATGCCAAATATTTTCCATTTTATTGATATGCCTCTGAAAATTTAGGCGCATTGGTACGTCCTTAGGGCTTCAAAGTAAATATAAAATGCAGGTTTAACGTTATTTTACTTTATTTCCTTGGACCAGGAGTTGGCCATGCAAACAGCCGATGAATCCGGAGCTCGCTTTATATTTGCAAATGACCCAGATGCGGATAGGTTTGCTGTTGCAGAAAAGCAAAAAGAGTAAAAAGAATTTTTTACTTATCTTCAAAATGAAAATATTAATGAAGCTAATTCATTTCTTCCTTCTGTGAAAAATAGTGGAGAATGGATAGTGTTTTCAGGAAATCAGATTGGAGTGATACTTGCATCAAACGTACTGAATAATTATAAAACCTCTGGAAAAAAAATAGGTTAGTTCAACCGAAATCTTATAGTAAGCTGTTAGATTTGTTTTTATTTCTTTTTATTTTTTATTTTCTCAAACAGAAAAATTGGCTATGCTTACTACCACCGTCTCCTCAAAAATGTTGTCAAGTATGGCAAAATCTGAAGGCTTCTATTTTGAAGAAACCCTGACCGGTTTCAAATGGTTAGGAAATGCTGCGACAGAGCTAAAAAAAAAAGGATATGATCCATTTTTTGCTTATGAGGAGGCGATTGGATTTATGATTGGTGATGTGGTTATGGATAAGGATGGTATAAGTGCTTTGGCAACATTTGGAGAACTATTGGTACAGCTAGAGAAGAGAAATATAAGTGTTAAAGATTATTTGGAAGAGTTGTATCAAAAGTAAGATCTATTGTTTTGAGAGCATGGTGTGATAATTGACTGTGATAATGAAATTTCATCTGCACCTAAAATTAGCTATGGGTACTTTTTGACAGATAACTCATACTTTATCTGTCATTCCCAACCTACAATGGATGAAATTTTCGATAAAATAAGGTATGGCGAAAACCCGGTATGTATTACACTCGATCCGAAGTCTGTCAGATTCCAAAGCTATCTGACATTCCAAAATTCTTTTATTCAGACAAAACCATCTGATTCAGATGTAGGTGGCAATCGAAAATCTTCATTGAAACTTTTTCCAATCATTAATTAAACAAAATTTTTAGTACCCTTATTCGTATCAACTTTCATACCCTACAACGCTAGCTGGCTACAAAGTCACCTACGTTCGAGATTTAACAATCGGCTATGATACCAGTAGGCCAGATAAAAAACCAACACTGCCGGTATCCGAAAGTTCCCATATGATCACCTTTGGATTAGAAAACGGGTGTATTGCAACTTTAAGAACTAGGTCTGTATTGTTCTATTATTATTATTATATATACTGTATATATTTCATTCTACAGAATGACATCTCTATATCGTTCATGCGTAACAGTGGAACTGAACCAAAGATCAAGTACTATTTCGAATTATCGGGAACAGATCGTGAAAAGGTTAAAATGGAGTTGAAAGAAATAGTTAAAAGAGCGACAAATGTATTATTGGAACCCGAGAAATATGGGTTAGGATATAGAAAGTGATACCTAGGATTCTTACAGCGAATAGGTTTTTCATCGTTTATACTTTATTTACTTAAATTGGTTTTTTTTATTGCAGAATTGCGAATAATGATTGATTTAGAGAAAAAATTAGAATCGATTGTATAAACCTTTATATATATTTAATGTCAACCTATGGGTTTTATTAAAAAAAAAAATAAATAAATAATAATTATACTGTTACAATACTTATAACCAAATTTAATTAATTATAGTGTAAATTTAATTAAATTTGAATTGTATAACATGTTTTAAATTCAGATCAAGTATGTTTAAAATTTTGATTTATCACTGATTCTTTATTCACACACAAAAAAGATGTTCACCAGAAGTTTTTATACCACCTTGTTAATAAAATCTTAATACTTTCTTAAAACAACTTGAAGTACAACTTCAAAAGTCATTTCTACTCTTTTCTTATTATTTATAAACTTTTTTACTCAAAAATTTGATCAAGAAAAATAAAATAATATCTTTGATACTAATGGTAAAAAAATTTTCAAAGAAAGAAGAATTGATTATGAAATAGTTAAAGATTTTTTTAATTTTTAAAATGAGAGACTTATAAAGGTTTTCTATAGTAAAAAGATTTATTTTTTTCTTTTTTAACCATCTTGGTTCTTTTAGAGTTTTCGCCTTTATAGTTTAAAAATTTTGCCTATTTCAATTTGATATTGAATTTTGAATAATACAAATTCTACTAAAGTGAATTGATTAACATAAAATATATTAGTTTTTGAAATATAAACAAGCTCTTCATTAGTTAAAATTATATCATTCAGTGGCTAAATTATTGCCAAATTTGATTAAATTTAATAATAAAAATATCATTGTATTTTTTTTAATTGCTGTCACTTAATATATTATTATTTCAGCAATAAAGTGGCAATTAAAAATTTGATAATCAAAAAATTTGACAATCAAAAATTTATTAATTAAAAGTTTAACAATAAACTGTCAAAAAATTCATTAACAATTTATCAAATAATTTATTAACTATTTAGCAAAAATTCATTAAAAATTTGTCACAAAATTATTTATTAGCAATTCAATAAAAATTCAGTATTAATTGATAATAATTCATTGAAAATTTAGTAAAAATTCATCAATAGTTTATTTCAACTATTTATTAAAAATTTATCAACTATTCTTTAAAAATTCAGCAACTATTTATCAAAACTATTTATTAAAAGTTCATTGACTATTTATTAAAAATTTGATAACTATTTATCAATTATTTAACAAAAATTTATAAAACTTGTGAAAAAAATTATTTGTATTTATAAATTATTTAGTATTATTTGTATAATAATATGACTTGCAGATCAATAGTATAGTGGGTGCATTCCCAGGTTATCATCTGCAAGTTACTGGTTCAATTTCACTTGAGAATAGTTTTCACAATATAGGTTATATTGTACAAGATGTATACTTATCACCACATACACTTTTATATTCAAAATAATCTATAGATTTCTACCATTTGACCATGGTTTAAAAATAAATCATTCAAACCTTGATCAGTTTTAGCACTAAGAAAAACTTTGGAAAAAAAAAAAATATGTCCTAGAATATATAAGGATCCAAAAATAAGTAAAAAAAAAACACTGATTATTCAAGTCTTTTAATGGATATGAAAAGAACATCCACCTCTTGTCAAAAATATACCCTATAAAAAGATAAAGAAGACTTCAGTCATTTGTACCTATTAAAATGTAATGGGCCATAACAATAATTAATGGAAGATTTCTATAGTCATGAAATCAATAGCTATCAAAGAGAACAGCTATTGTGAAGGCTGGTAGTTTGCTTTAATGTAATATTGAGAATTGTAGAGAAGAACTAAAAATTTGGGAGAAACAATCCAAAAAAACAACCAAGGGAAATCCCTATAGACCAACTTTCAAGAGTGGTTAAAAATGAGACAATGGAAGGCTATACACTATCCAATTATATACAATAATACCATTGAATCATCTGAATATCAATAACATGATCAGAGAACTACACTATTTAAGTTTCAACTAGCCTGCAGAGGACCTAAACATAGTAGTGATCATCCATGATATTTACAATTATTAAGCAGTAAAACAAGATCCCACTAAGAAACATACAACAAAAGATGGGTTCCTAAAGAGGAAGACAGGAACAAAAGTCAAATGTTTCTCACTAGGAAACATTAAAATTTTTAATTAATAATTATAAAAAAACTACCCACAATTGTTCTCTATTATCTAAATTATTGATTTATAATATTTTTTGAATTTTGTTCCTATTAAAGTGAAGAGCTATGAATTTTGTCTCTCAAAAAAGAACATAAGTGATCTGTGAAATTTTATATACTAAATATTTTAGGGACCCATCATTATATACAATACAAACCTCTTAAAGATTATTAATAAGAAGTCTATGGTGAATCTTTGAAATACTATAGTCCTAGGCCGATTAGGGCAACTGACAAAAATGGTACTACTATGTGACAAAATTGATGGACTTAGCTAGGATAGATAGTTTAAAAAAGTTATACAAATTGCTCATATAATCTAAAAAATATATTACAAACATCTCAATAAAGATTTGTCCTATCAGTTGAACTATATAAAAAAAAAAAAAATTTGCTAATAATACATAATTAATTAAATTGTAATAAATTTTTTTTTTTTTTAATCACAATTATATACCTCTTTGATGTATTTTTATTGAAATATTGAGAAATATCAAAATATTTTAAACTTTTTTACAAAGTGACTAACTTGTTATTATACATTATTAGTTAAAGAACTACACTAATTAAAAATATGAGGAGTCCAATAAGCTAGTTCAGATTAAACAAAACTAAGTCTAAACTAGATATTCTAAGTCAGATTTAAGGACAATATTGTACTCTTCTAGTAGCTTGGCATAGTACCTTTAAGTCAACCAGGATTATTGCCAACAGTTTGTTATTGTCAATTATCCTAAAAAATATTGAATTGCTAAAGTATGGCACTGAGAAAAGGGAAAAAGAAAAATACAATTCAAAGCCCTCCAAAAGGTTCTTGTTTCATTTCACAGTTTTCTCTTGAAAAAGATTTGATATTTTCTAAGCTTCATAATATTTGAGGAACTTAACTATTTCTGAAAGTGACTTCAAGAAAAATATTTGAGGAACTTATCCTTTTGCTAATATATGGATTTATTTATTGTTAGTAAAGCTAACATCATATTATAAAAGAGTTTGCCTAATTAAAATAAAGAAATCTTTTTAAAAACTTTGCCTAACTAGAATAAAATTTTGTAGACCTCAGCTTTTGTTCAAGAAAGCCTTTTCACCATTTGAGGAACTTAATGAGAAATGGGAGTCAAATCTGTTTGCCTACCCATTACTTGCTTTTTGATATTATAATTGTTTCCTGGAAGTCAAATATATGCAATTGGAGGGGACACTTTTTCTAAAACTTTTTTTCCTATATCACTAATAATGTAATAAGACACGTGAGTATGATTAATAGGAGCTTGTTTACATTCCAAAAACTAACGTGTTTCATATCAACCAATTACCTTTGGTAAGGATTTGTGCTATCCAAAATTCAGGATCAAACTGCGATAGGCAAAATTCCCTAAAAAACCATGAAAGTGAAAGCTCTAAAAGGACTAAAACAGTTGAAAAGGAAGAAAATAAGTCTTTTTACTACAGAAAACCTCTATAAACCTCCCATCTCAAAGATCTGATAGACCTTCAGGTACTTCACTATCAGTTCTTCTTTTTTTAGAAACTTTCTTGTCATTGGTATCAAAGGTATTACATGACTTTTCTTGGTTACTAGGAGTCAAGTTTTTGAGTGAAAAGGTTTATAAATAATGAGAGAAGGGTAGTAGTGATTCTTGAAATAATACTTCAAGTTGTTTTAAGGAAAGTATTAAGACTTTATTAACAAGTAAGTATAAAAACTTCTTGCAAACATCTTTTTTATGTGTGATTAGAGAATTAGCGAAAAGAATTTTTAATTAAATTGTAATAATATAAATTATATATTATATATATATTTTTTTTTTTTTGAAATGGTAACTCAGCTTTGTTTTATTGAAGTCTCAAGTAAAATACAAAATACTAATACAGGACATTATTACCAATAAAACACTCCTAGGATTATACATGAGAGTTACAATTTTACACTACTACTACCATTTCAATTCCGTAGGCTGGTTACTCTTCGAGAGTTTCATCGATCGAGGGCATATTACCTGTTCCTCAGCTGCTTTCAGCATCTCCATGTTGTAAAATTTTAACTACTCTAATCCACCAGATGGCCTGTTGTCAAGGAGAATTACTCGGATTAATTTCATTCGTGCACCTGGAAAGAAGATTCATCGATCCTCCTAGATTCCCCCTAACGCACATGCTCAGGTAAGACATGTCATCCCAAAAGAAAAATTTGACCCCTATACCTCACCTATCATGAAACCCAACTTTGCCACGGGGACTTTATTTCGAATCTTTACCTATTCGACAAAGCTAAGGAGAACCTATTTAGTGGCCAGGAGTAGGTAACTACAATTATAAAACCCAGTTGTAGTATCTTGTGATCTTCACCATGATCAGACAGACTCTTTCTTGAAGGAACCAATGAGGTAATGTGGGAGTGTCCTGTATTCACCCGCACCAAACCCAATGACTTATGGTGGATCCCAGGTTCTTATAGAGCTGAGGAAATGCATTTAGACACATGATGTGATCAATAGAAGCTTGTTTACTTCTTTTACTAATGTGAGTTCTGTCTGTTCAATTATGGTGTGAGAAACTTTGTGCTACTCAAAATTCAGGGTCAAACTGAGGTAGACAAAATCCTCCAGAAAAAATCAAGAATGAGCACTATGAGAAGCAGAAACATGACTGGAGAGTAAAAAAATTGTCTCTTGTTATAATAACACTTCTGTAGTGTTTCTCTATGGTGTGAGATAGCAGCACATTAGTTCTTCTTCCTTTCAGAACTTTCTTGCCT